AGCTTAGTAATTATATTACTCTAACACAATACCATATCACACTTAACAAAGCAACTCTGCTCAGTCATAAGTTCCAAACACTGAGCCTATTTTGTTATTTTTTCTAGTAAACCTAACTCCCTTAGATTCAACGATCGCTTAAGATAGGTTTAGATCTGATAATCTAGGAATTCCAAGTTCCTGCAACATATGAATTTGGACCAAACTACTAATTAAGAACATTATACATATTACCCTTATAACCTTTTTAAGTCTCATTCTTGTCACAAGATCTTATATAATAAGAAAATGGTCTAGATATAATTCATATTATTTGTTATAAATCAAAAAATTGACCGTGAGAAATGATTCTGCAGGAGAGTGTCACAAAACTTTATATCTAATTTTGTGTGACTTGTTGAAGTACTGTTTAGAATAGGCGAAATATAAGATCCGTTATGCTAAATTTGTAATACAAATGTTCATTGGCATACGTACCTATTGTGTTAAAATAAAGTATATATGTTTGCAGATATCAGTGTATTACTATATTGCTTATCATTATTCAAATTAACTGATACCAGATTATATCATACATAGTGAGGATTAAGTAATTTGGCAAATAATGATCCACTCACCAATTTTTCAAATATGAACGGCATAGGTGGAGACTTTGATAAATAGGCCAGAAGCAAAGAATACAGGAAATACATCTATATTCCTAGTTTTAACATTAAATGTGATGCTAAAGGTTATCTTGTCTCAGCTAATCCTCGAGATCCTAACTATCATAATCAAGAAAATCCAACTAAAAATCTAGAAAAAGTTACCGATGCTGAACGCAATCCTTATAGCTATACAAAAATCCCTCAAGCACCTTGGGGAACCTGTTGGCTTTATCAAACTTCTCCTGTTGGATATGAACAGGCTAATATTTATACAGAGGACCTAACATTTAATGAGTTTCAATCCAAACCAATCAATAGTAATACTTGTTTGAATATTCATAATTTTAGAACTAGTCGATTATCTTCTTGTACACGACGTGCTCAACAAGAAATGACAAAAACGGATGTGCCATTTATTTTTACTAATGTTAACATGAAAGTTTGTTGTGACCGTCAAGTTTTTATTACTATTGATTGTAGTATTTCCCCCAGACCCGTCTTTACATTGATAGAAAAATAGTTGGTGAATGAGAACAGACTAATCTTGGCAAGTTTATCTAGTTTGAGAGCAGTCAGCCAGATCCTTCTAAATTATCTAAAGCTGGTCACAGAAAAATTGCTCATTCTGGTAAATCATTAACATATAATAAAAAAGTTGAAAAGGTGATTCCGGCATAATACAATAAGGGAAGTATTTATTTTCAGTTTTATTCATTTGGTATATATTGAGAATAGCTCTATATTTTTATATTTCACTCTATAATATATATATATTCTATCTTTATTTCTGAGAATAATAAATAGAATTGTATCGCTATAGTTTCGAAAAAGTAACAAATGTAAAATTTATTGTACAAGAAGCAGATTACTTAATTAACAGTATCATTTTTTTATATATTGAATCTGAATATCGTGAAATGACCTTCATTTTTGAGCTAGAATTCGTTTACAAGAAAAGACAAACTAAAAAAAATCACGAATCTATGTGATATCGGGTTTTTCAAAAACAGCATAATTCTTATACTTGTGTAGATCTGGTTAAGATATAAATTTTGTTATACTAAATTTGGCTATTCTCTCAACAGGTTACGTATTAACAATGCAACAATGTAATTCCAAATATAGAAAATGTATAATTATTGGTTGATCTATTGTGTTCAATAATTGTAGTGCCAAATTTAGTAAACACGCAATTGTTTGTTTGTTAGTAATTATTATGATGCCAAATAAAAATTGTTAGTTGACTCATGTTGGATTATTGCAATACCAAGTCATTTATATTGTATATTGCTTCATATCAGATTGTTATATACTAAATAAGAATAAGTCATGATTTATAATAAAAGGGTTATTCTCACTACAAAGTTCTGTTTCGAATTTGTTAGTTTTCAAGAGAATATCTTAAAAATTTTTATTTTTATTTTTATAAATCAAATACTTGTGTTAACATTATATCGCTACAAAATACACCCACTATGTCAAAGGCCTTCAAGAGAAATTTGCGTAAAAAAGAACTATGTACTATAAAAAAAGCTAAAATTGAAAAATCTGATAGCTCAATCGTTGGAGAAGGTATTTCTAATTCTAATGCTAATCATATCGAAGAAAACACGAACATATTTTATGATCCTTTAAAAGTAGGTTAAATATCTTTTATTATATTTAGTTTTATAGTATAGTTTTCTTAAGGGTACTTTTCGCCTTTCGAGGCAGGCCTAGGATCTGAGTATTCTCTCCCTATATAAAGTTATTTTTTCATCTCAGGCATGATCATCATCCTTGATGTGGGGCATGTGTAAGGAGGAAGGTAACACAGACTTCATGAGTTTTAAACCCCCAAACTACACTACTGAGAGTAATTCAAATGTATCTACTGAGAAGATTTTATTACTATTCAATATAAAGTATTTTTTGTATATCAATTTACCAGTTTTTTGAATATATATTTTCTAGCACAAGACTCAAAGCGAGACCTGTCTATCTAAGAGCAAATCATGTAAATATATTTTATCTTACTGGAAATCTGAAGATTTTATGGTGAGTGATCTTAAGTCAAAGAATGATTTGTAATCTATTTTTTTAATAGATCTAAAGATCACCTTTTTCGAAAAATTTGCAGAAAGAAGATAGCAACGAGAAGTTATTAAGATGCTACTGGATCAAGAATTGCTTCCATTAGATGCTATAAAGCAAAATACCTTTTCTTTTAAATATGACGCTTTTTCCAAATTTGACCTAGAAAATATTTGAAGCGAATTATACAATTCAAAAAGATCACTACCACCCCAAACTACACAAATTATTCATACTATTTTAACTAACTTTCAAATACCTGCTGAATTTATTGATTTACTAGAATTAGAAATTTTTAATCACACCAAACCCACAAATAAAAATTCTGATTTAGCATGGAAGCAATTCGCTTTGTGGGCATTTTTTGCAATCAGTCCTTCCATTGTAAAACAGATTCGTAATCATTGTCAGTGCTTCTGGTCTTAGATAAAGCATGCATATCAGCAACATGTAAAAGCAGAAAAAGTTTCGCTAAAGCAAACAACAATATCTGAGGTACTTTGTCGAAATTTAAAAGACAAGCAAATTATTGCTAGTGTATTAACTGATAAGATGTCTGAGAAAGATGTCAATATAAAAGGGTATCACTATATATTCGACCCACAATATTTTAAGAATACTCTTAGGAAAATAATGATAGATTTATACACTTTTCAGAGTTCCAGAGTCACCAAAAGTGCAAAGATAGCAGTAGAACAATACTATGTTTACATGCTTAATAATCTGTCTCACCAGTCCAAAGAATTTTCGAAAGAATTGGTCGAGCATTTTGGTACTTTTATGGGCAATAATAATGAACCTTATACAATATCAAATACTGCCTCATCTCACAACTGGGGTTATTTAAAATGTGTTCAAGGATTAATACAAAGCCTTCAACCATTATCTGATACTGTTAATAGGTATATTAAGAAAACATATCTAGCCTTGTATACAAAAATAAGAAAACTTGATCTTGGACCAAATATCTCTAAATCATTTGGAAGCTTTTCTACTATAGTAATTAATTTTAATACTATTTGCCAGTTTCATCGGGATCTAAAAGACCACTGCAATTCACTTTGTATAGTGTGCCCACTTGAAGTATTTGAGGGTGGGCAATTGGTATTTCCTGAACTTAAATTAGCTTTTTATGTTAAACAGGGCCAGATAGTTGCCTTCCGATCCAATATCCTAGTTTATAGAAATCTACTAGTTCTTTCTGGTGTACGACATAGTGTCATTTTTTCATTCATTCAACAATGATCAAGCAAAATAAAAAATTCAGCTCCTTATTTAGCAATTCAAATTCAGAAGATAATATAGAAGTAGGTATTAATGATAATAATAAAAAAGCAAAGATATCAAAAAAGCTTGTAATATAGGATAGGAAGTGTTCTAAATCTTTAAAGTCAGGTTCTCAATTACCAAAAATTAAAAATTCAAGATGAAGCTATCTTAGTAAGTATAATTGCTATGTTAAAAATTCTATGTAGTTATTCTTCAAACTCAATATTTATATTTGCTTCTACTTATTTAAGATCTTGAACCCACGAGAAGAGGTTTACTAGTGAAATACAAAAATAATTAGCATTAGATTGTAATATAATCAAATATAATGTAATTGAGTAATATTCTAACTAACTTTTTGTCTCTGGCTCAAAGCTCATATATTAAGATATTTTTCACATAATTTTGCTATTTTATATTGACTTCGAATATACAAAATTTGAATCAAAATTATACTATGTATAAAGTTAATAAAATCATGTAATATATTATAAGTCTTATAATCATTATAGGTCCTTAAATCACTATATATTATTAAATATGGCAAACATCAGTATTTCAGTTATCCTTGATAAAAAAGCTAAATCACAAAAACTTATTAATAATAGACCAGGATATGACATGAAATATATCAACTCATATATTCTGAATTATTATAGTATTAATGATTATCAACAATTCTTTGAAGAGCTCTTTGAGACTGAAAGACAATATGATATTTTATCAGTTATTCAGCCTAATGAAACTCCACAGCAATAGGCACTCAGAGTTCAAATTCCTTTACAAAAGCTAGTTTCTTAGAGAAAGAGGAGTGTATACCATGTACATGCTCTATTTCTAGCATTCGGTAAGGGTAAATTTGTAGATCATGATTACTACTGACCTAGAATTTATAAAACTCGTATAGCAATTTGTCTCGATTGTATGAAGCTTATTCAGATTAATGATATGAAGCTAAAAAAGAAATTTCATCATACTATAGGTAGATATGTAGAAATTCTCGAACCTAAAGACTTAATACAAGAATATTGAGATTATGATTGTAATAAACCAAAAACTAGAGATAGTTCAGCAAAAATTATTCAAAATATTTGGAGATGATTTCAAGAAAGAGAGCCATCAAATGCACGACTCGCTTAGAACAGCTTAGCAAATGATAATACTCCTGATAATAAGAAATTTCTAGGTTTAACTCGACATAAAGTAAAAAATCCTCAGACTCGAGAACAATTTAATCAATGGCGTACTAAATGGATTGAATTATATAAAAACAATCCCATGATATGCAGTTCCATTATTAATAGTCAATATAAAAAATATTATATCCTGGTTAATTGAATAGATTCTAAAAAGAGTTAATTGCAGGTTAGATTCTGAAAGCAACTTTTAGAAATAGAAGTATAGTATTTAATTAATTTCTTAATTATATTATTTATTCGATTTTTCAGTTTTTTTGGGTTTAGAATTCGTGGGCTCAGCTAGCAATGCATTTTTTATCTTGTGCTTTTGATGTAACTCTATCTTTTCTGCAAATCCAGTAGAGTATCAAATCTTAAATGAATTGCTAGTGGATCATCTTCTGGCCTATCTAAATCAAACACAATAAATTCACCTTTGTATAAGTAACTGTTAATAACCATTGATGCATTTTTTACATTATCTTTATATCGACGAATAATTTTAGAGACATCTTCATATGAGCTATCAGAATTAAAGAGTACTAAGTAATTTGCATTTTCACGTATAAATGTAGTGATTTTATGATATTTCTGTACTACAAATATACATGAAATATTTCAATATTGCCCATTTCCAAAAAATTGGCCAATTTGATTCTGTATATGTTCTGAAAAGAGACACAAATCTTCAAAAACAATTGCTGTACTTCATTCAAGTAAAAATGCTTTTATACTAGAGATTTTTTCTGGTGATATATAGCTAAATCGTATATTTTCATAGTAAGATACTTTCAGGTCTTTTGAAATTATGCTATACATATATCTAATGAATACCCATTTTGGCTCATCAGGATGATAACCACAAACTATTAAATCATCACAAGAAATATATCTCCTACCACCTTTTTTTTTTTTATATATGTATTCAGCTTTATTACTGAGAAAAAGATTTGTTAAGATATTAGTCTTACCTAATTCACTTTTTCCTGTAACTATCATTCTAAAGAGCTATGTTGGACTAGTTGGATAAGATTGACAACGAGATGCAACATGTTTATTAGCTTCGTCTATATCTATAAGGAATAGTTTCATAGGAGATATTTTTGAATTTTTTTGCATGGCGAATTGGGAATCTATAACTCTGTTTTCTATATACTG